GAAGCTCCAACCCCCTGCCACACGCAGGGCCACCAACCTCCCCATTTCATGGCAGCCCAGGCTGCCCAGGGCCCCATCCAACCTGGCCTTGAACACCTCCAGGGATGGACAGGGCATCCACAGCCTCTCTGGGCAGCTGTTCCAGCACCTCACCACTCTCATAGTGAAGAACTTAAAGTAAACAGTAAAGAAGTAAAAATTAGTAAAGAACTTAAAATTTGTGTGTATCCACCAGCAGGGTGAAGAAAAGCCAACTTGCAAAGCTGCATTAAGAAGTCTGATCTCCAGAACAGCCAACCAAGTGCTTCTCCGCATCTCTACAGATCTTCTGACAGCAAATAGCCTGAGGCCCATGTACTAATGCCAAGCTCTGCTCTCACCTAAAATCTTTAGAACTGGACATCAAAGGGAGGAGACCAGGGCTGACATTGGGCGTCTTTATGGTAGGTATGAAAAAATGTTCACAGTGGAAGACTGGAATGAGTTTCATATGGAAACGGGGAATCCCTCTATTGAAATTTTTAGGTGCACGTAAAAGAAACACGCATCAGAGAGATCTAAGAATATTTAGTACTGCCTTGGAAGTGGAGGATGGTTTAGGTGATCTTTTTAGCTACATACCTATAGGATTTGCAAATGTTTGTAATTAATTATGCCAACCAAGGAATAACATAACTACCTGGAATCAAAGTCATAGCCTCGCACACCCAAGCAAGAGCAAACATTTTAGAACTAGTAAATCATCTAAGCATCATAGCTGGTTTGAAACACTTCATCTAAAAATGACAGTTCCTCCAAACTGAAGTTTGGGACTAGATAAATACTCAGTTTAGACAAGGTGGCATTCTGAGTTCAGCACTGAATTATTGGGTAAAATAGAGTCCCTGTGAGCAGAGTCCAGCAGCTGCCCTACGTTAGAGGACAGCCAGCTCCACCCAGCTCCAAGAAGAACCCACAGTGGAACAGTGCTTGGAGAGCTGCAGCCTGCGGGAAGCCCACCCTGCTGAGTTTGGGAAGGATGGCATCCATAGGAGGGACACAGCAGCAGCATGGGAAGGGAGTGAGGATGAGGGAGTGGCAGGGACTGACCACAGCTTTCATCTTCCATTCCCTTCTGCTGCTCTGGGGCAGGAGGCAGGAGAGGGGGATAGGATCAATGTGTTTCAAGTTTGCTTTTAGTTCTCACTACTCATGCCTGTTACAAATAGGCAATAAATTACATTAATCTCCCTCAAGCTGAGTCTTTTTTTTGTCCATTTAAATTCAGCTGCCCATCGGTGTGAAGCCACCACATTATGCTAGAGACACATTGCCCTCCTCCAGTCTTTCTTGTGGCATTTTATATGATTAATTAGCAGTTCACTGAGTCAGCAAGTCAGTTTCCGTTCTGACAAATATTTAAAAAGTATAACAGATGTCTGAGACTCCCAATTGATGATAGTCAAATATTTCTCCCTCACAACTCTTCTTTTCTTACATATGCTGCAAAGGGACTACATGCCATTAAACAGGGCTGTGGTCCTGACAACTAAGTCAGTAGAAGGTGACCTGAGAGTGGATCTGTACAGCAGCAAGATTAATCATAGAATCATAGGATCGTAGAATCATGGAATCACCAAGGTTGGAAAAGACCTCCAAGATCATCCAGTCCAACCACCCACCTACCATCAGTACTTCCCCACTAACCCACATCTCTCAGAACAACATCTAAACATTTCTTGAAATTCATACAGCGGCTTACAGGGGCTAAGCTAAATGGAAATGGTAAGAAAGAATGTCAGGCACAACTTGGATCTGTGAGCTGTTTCAAAGCGCTTAGTTTCAGTGTAGCACCTTAGCACTGAAGAAGTTTCAGTATGCTTGTAACTAAGCTCCCTCCTGCTTCTGGGCTGTGAAATCACGGGGCCTTGTTGGTATATTGGATCCTTATTCCGTCTTCACTGCCTTGATTGCAGGTGGATGCAGATTTTTTCCTCCCTGAGTTTTCCAAGTCTGAATAAGCTTCAATCTTGCCCTTTGTGTGTTGATGCTTGCTGGACTGAGGCTTTAATGAATAGGCTAGTATTATATCCTCTTTCCTCTTCTGCACAATAGCCAACTTGTCAAAATGAAGCCTTGGGCTAACTCAACAACATTGAGCTAGATGTCATGTGCTCTAGAAAATTTTATGCTTCTGCAGAACAAAAGTTGATCCCAAACTGAACACAAAGCAGCCCACAACACAGTGTTTTCTCTGCACAGCTTCAGGAAATGTTTTAATTGTTCTCTACATCTGGGCTATAATGATCCCATGAGGGTCTGAGATGGCTTCCTGCCTGGATTCTGCTGTAAAATACCAGTGCAAGACCTCATCAAGAGTGGTTCAAGCATCCCAGCCTCTCAAAACGGCCTCTTGGGGAAAGGGAGTTTTCCCCTTTATTACTTGAAGGAAAGGAATCACTATCACTACCTTAGCAGAAGGACTGACAGCAGCAGCAGTTGGGATGGAGGTTTCACGTGGTTTGACAACACAGCTAAGCTGACAGAATAGCAGGCTGCTGCCAGAACAGCCAGTCTGCTCTCCCCACCCTGTCCCCCACCATGCATTCCTGGCATTTCTCCGATCCTAAGAAGGGCTGGTTCAGGTAGATACGTTCAGAGAAAATGAATCCTATTAAAAACAACAAAAAAGACAATTTTCAATGGTCTTGCTTCTTCAACCAGCTAATTGGCTCTGCATTCTTTTCATGAGAGCCAGTTGCTAGTACAGCCAGAAGAACCTTCCAGCTATTTTAAACTCTTTAGCTGCATTAAACACTGGCACCACTGAACCAGACTTGCAGGAACAAAGAGAGGCCTCTTCCAGCTCTACCCTGACACATGTGGATAATCACTGCACCCATCTGAATGCATACAACATGTTGGACTGCACAGCACATCCCCAAGCATTAGAGTAAAGGAGCAACCATTCCTGCTCTCACCAGGCTTCTGTCACCACCAGCAACAAAGAGCAGACTTGAGGGCAGATGTGGAGAGTCAACACCTTTTTTCTTGCTTTCTGCAGCCTGCTTCTCTGCCTTTAGCATACAGCAATCCCATGCCCCTTATTGGTCACACTTTGAAAATAACCAATATCAGCTGTTTGGAAGATTCTGCAATTTTTCACTCTCCTTTTTAGGAGAGTTCCTTTTTTTTCTCCCCTAAACTCAATCTTCTTTCCAATTCACTATAACCCAGTTGCCAACACACTTGTTGCCATTGTTAATGTCCTTGGATGAACAAACACCAGCACCTAGATGGAAACTTCACTGCTCTGCCGGTGGGACTTCTTGGTGCTGTTTGAAGATGCTCACCCAGAAGCAGCAGCATGCTGAAGACTCACTATGACAGGTAAGACTCATGCAGTCGTGGAACCACCCACCAAACAGAGATGAATGGTAGGAACTTGGGGATAACAAAAATTACATGAAACATAAAAAGGAGCAGATTGCCAGTGTTCTGAGTGAGAAATCCTCCTAGAGTTGACACTGAAATTCAGATCCACCACCAAAGGCTCTGTGTTCACCCTTCACCAGACCCTTTGGATTCAGTCCGATATGCTGTTTGGTGCGTGAGATAGAAAAGTTTGGCTAGATTGCCATGAAATCAGAGAATGAAATAACAGGAAAAAAAAGATAGAGGAATCTTAGGTGAGGGCACTAATTTTCTGCTACTGAAACATGTCAAAATTCTCCTGTGCATTATTAGTTGACACTAGAAAAAACGTAGGCTGGTGTCAGGAACTGGCATACTCAAGTGTATTTCTGACACACAGCTCCTAGCTGAAAGTATCTGCTGTGGTGGACAGATTACTGCACAGCACCGATACTCCTCTGCTGCTGATGTGAAGTCTTTTCACTATACAATTATACGGCAAAGGGATTCTTGAGTTTCATCACTTTCAGGGACTCTAACTCACTCGTGGCAAAAAGGAAGCTTCAGAAATGGGTATGCATTCCACTCCATTGCCTTCTCAGAAAAGAAAAATGGCTGCTATGAATGGTATTCAACATTGCTATGAGTCAAACACGCAGAGGACAGCTAGGCAAACAGAAAGCAGCAGAACTTAGCTCTGACCTTCCTCCCTAGAACTGGCAACAGGCACAAGAGCCAAACGAAATAAGAGTGCATCCCTGAGAGAGATCTACAATCTGCCGTGTTGCTCAATATCCAGCACCGCATCAGAACAACTTGTTCAATAAACACGTTGTCAGATAGTTAGACCTATTTTGACAGCGAGTTGCAGTGAGCCAGAACATGTCAGAGAGCACTGGTTGTGTGTATGGGGATCAGGGGCGCCTGCAGAAAGGAATCCCAAGCAGGTGTCTCCATTGGCCCTGTGAGAGCTGACATTTAGGAACATATGAAAGAATTCTAAAGACTACTGTGGAGTTTCAGGGCCATTAAAACAGCTTCTACTGCCCTCTGGAGAAGCTGCCGTCCCTATAAATGCGTGGGGAAAGAGAGGAGGAGAATATTATGGCTCCCCAAGCCCTTCAAGCCAGCAAGCAGCACGCTGAGAAGCGCAGCCTCCATCCTCCCCAGCTGCTGTCACATCTGCAGCAGCCTCCACGCACCAGCACCGCGCACATTTGTGAGGTGACGTGGATGCGATCCAGAGCAAGCCGTGTAGCCTGGCAGAAGCAGCAACCCGGCTCTGCAGCCCCACGGCAGCCGGTGGCAGCGGGAGGGGCAGCGCGGCACCTCCGGCGCTGCAGACTGCCATCTCTACAGAGACGGGCAAAGAAAACCGCTGCTGCCCTACCCATGCAGACGAGATAAAGCGCAACCGCCATCACTCCCACGAGCAGGGCTTTGCAGCAGAGAAGCCTCACGAGCGGGTTGGCAGGGCATCACCACATTTATCCGTAAGAACCTGCCCCAAATCCACCCCGCTCCCACCCCGCTCAACCACGCGGACGCATCCCCGCCCCTCTCCGTGCGGCACTGCGCCTGCGTGGCCCGCGGAGCGGAAGGGGCGGGGCCGCTCTACCGGAAGTGGCGTGAGGAGGCATGGCGGCGCTGGCGCGGGTCGCGGTGAGTGGCATTGGCGGGTGGTGCCGCTGAGGGGACGTGCGGTGGTTCACGGCCCCGCCTGCCCAGCTCCGTCCCTCTGGTCCCGGCGGTTCGCCCGCCGCTCTGTGAGCGGCCAGTTCTCGTCCTGAGCTTACCGGCGTGCCTCGTTGTGAGCCGTGCGCACGGCGCTCTGCACCGCGCTGCTGGGGCGCTCCCACTTTTGATGCACGGGGCCGGCTCCGATCCTTCCTTCAGAGCGTGTGATCCAACAGGAGCCGGGGCAGACCTGCGCGTTCCGGCTGGGGCTTTGCCCTTGAGGCCTTCTTTCTGTGCCCCTGGGGCGGTGCTGGGGTGGGGATGTGCGTTCCTACGGGCTCTCCGTTGGAGGTGTTGGGGTGGGAGGAGACGTTATCAGGTTGCAGATTTTGCGTCGAGTGGCAGAGATTGGGTTCCCTTGAGGATGGATTCCCTCTGACTGCCCTCCCTTGTTTTTTCTCATGCATTTGTGTGCTTTTCGTCTGTCAGCTTTTAAAGCCCCTGCAGCACGTTGCCAGATGTCAGCACAGAGTTTACAAAAGAGAGCTTGGAGGCTGCAGCTGATTTGTGCCATAGCACAAACACGGGGTGGCTGATGCTGTCAGATGGAGACAGGCTGGTGGCAGAAATGCAAGGCCTGTAGTCACAGAGCAGTGCCTGCTTCTGAAAGTAATCCACCTCGTTTCTGGAATTGATGTCTCGGGTGTGGTATCACAGTGGTGAACCTTTCAGCCCTTCAGCTGAAAACAGCTGAGAGCAAATCTGCCTGAGAGCGATTGGAATGCAGTGAGCTGAGCTCCTCTTTCCTGCTTCAGTGGCTGTGCTCTGTCCTCGCCTGTGGCACTGTGCTATTGCGTACCTCTGCATGCCCCAACATTTTTCTTGGCCCCTGTGCTCTAATGCCAAAGCAGCAGAGCTGGGGCAGTATGAAGTTAGTTTCCTGCTGTTTTAATGAGCTGAAGAGGCAATTGCTAGAAAAAAGCGAGAGGGAAGCCAGGCGGGAGCGGAGTAGTGAGTCACTGAGGGTTCAGCCTTCCCTGGATCTGTACCCCAGGGAGCCAGTTTCAATGTAAAGCTGCATGCAAAAGGTGCAGGTTTGTCTCCTGTGCTTCCTATCCCCATGCAGTGCTCCTCTCTCACCTGCTTCTGGTATTCATATTGTAGAGGAAGCTGCTTGAGCTTTTTATCCCAGCTGGAAGAAATTCTCTTTGGACAAGATGTCTGCCATTTTGGGGTCTGAAGCATCTTGCTTTGTAATTAGAGAAGTTCAGGAGCTGTCGTAAATGGTGAGAGTACACAGATACAGATAGGAGGCAGGGGATTTCTAGCAGAAAGCAACATAATTCTGCTCACGTTATGTGATATCGTATGATTGCTGATACATGGTGTTCCATGCTGTCATCTTTTGCAGTAGGATCTAATAGTTGCCCAATCAAATGAAGGCAAATCTTCAGCCTTTAAACATCTCTGTACTGAAAACAAGGAGGAACAGTTTTGTTTTCTTCTAATCTTCAGGCTTTCTCAGGCATTTGTTGTATGATACAATCCTGGGTATTTTCTGAACGTTTCAGTCAATAGTTCTGTTGTGGTGAAACCATCCTTTATCTAAGAAGAGATACTGAAGTGTAGTTTGTCTGCTAGCTATGGCTTTCCTAAAAGTTGCCAGGAAAGGTTTAGAAGGCCATAGGTATTTTCTTTCACCTGGATCTTGATAGGACAGCTGGCTGCAGGCTACCATGGAGTAACTCCTTTTGATTTAGACTAGGCATAGACCAGCCATATCGTAAAGAAGGAGCAGCATTTGTGGTTTAAATGGGAGTTGATGTTCTACAGATAGTGATAATGGCTTAGGGAAGATACCTTAACACACTGTTTTCCCTTATTTCCTTATGTTTTTAATGGTAAATATCCCAATTTGTCTGTCCTGTCCTCTGGACAGATCTGCTATAGTTACACTTTCACTGGCACCATATGGTGGTTTGGCTGTATCTCCCCTCATCCCAGTGCCTCTATTTGTGCACATTGGTAAAATTTCCCTGGAGTTTTCTTTTCTGAAAGCTAAATAGTTGTAGCTCTTGCAGCCTATCCTCACATGTTGGGTGCCTCAAACCCGTAATCATCTTTGTCTCTGTTAAAAAAAAATAAAGCTATTTTTATAAGAAAAAAAAAAAAAAAGAAAGCTTTTTCTCTCTAATAATACATCCATTGTTTCCAATACTGATGTAGATCATGTATGAAGGAGACAAGTATTATACTAGCTTGAGTATAGCAAGCAAATGAAAGACGCAAAGATAACCTTCTTGCCTCTAATTCCTATTGGAGGAATTTCTTATTGTTGAAATTGACTGGGATGATTTGTGTTTTGGAGTACTAAGGCACAGTGCCTGAGTATGATGAAGATGCATAGAATCTGAGTGTTTGAGTGCTTTTTAGAGATCCTTCAGTCAATGGAATACGTGTTTGAATTTATTCTGCAGGTGTAAATGTCGTGCTGTGTTTCATGATTTGGACAGCCCACTGCTTCCTCTGACTGATCTGCTTCTGCCAGCATTCTCAGGTGGCATGACTTTATTGGAGGGCAAGGGATTTTTTTTATAGTCAGAATTTATGCTTCTGTCAAATGCAAGTTTGGAATTTAATCTGAGGCTTTTGTTTAAATAACTAAAACCTGTGAAAACAGGAGGACAGTTAAACTCTTCTTGAGTATTAGAACCTTCTTTCTCATTGCTCGTCTTCCAGAGCTGCCAGGCTGAAGTAACTCAATGGATAGCAGCTTGCAGTGGCTTATTACAGGCAGCCATGGTCCAAGGCCAATGTAGGAGGATGCTTCATGGTATTTTCCAGGTAAGGTATCACTCTACATTAACTATGTAAAGACTGGGATGTGTTTAAATCTGTAGTAGTTTCTATCAGGCTTCCAGAAATGCTGTCTTTGCTTCTCTGTTGGTATATTGCTGAAACATCAAGGCAGCTTAAAAGGTTTTTGCTTCTGCAAGAGTGAGCTCCCCTACCCTCCATAACGCAGTTGTCATCATTCCACCAATGTAGTCTTGTAGTGGGAAAGAATATGAAGCTCTTTTGAGTAGATGACACACCAAAATTGAAATGTAGATGTTGTTTTTCCAAAGCAGATGTTACAAGTTTGTCACATTTGCAGTTAATTGCCAGCATTTTATTGTATTTAATATATATGCCACAATAGCCTTAGGCTTTCTAGTATTGATAGTATGTTTGCCTTGCACAGTGCAACATAGAGTAATATTGTTTCAGTATAAAAGCACTGCTTTGCCTGCTGCTCACAATTTTCAAGTGGCATTCATAGCGTCAGGTTGTGTCTATCCACAGTAAGCTGACCATAAGATTGCTTAATAGTTGGAGGTTAAGAACCCATATATGAGAATGCAATTCAAAATGCAAATGCAGAAAGATGCAGCCTATCTGAACAGGATCAAGGTATGTCTGAGTGCTTTCTTCTTGCAAACAATAAAGCCAGAGCAGATTAAGCCTCCCCTTCTGTATGTTACATCTGGACGAGTATTGTTGGAAGTAGTGAAGGAAATGAGTAGTTTTCAAGTTGACTGTTAAAATTAAAGTTAACTCTGAGCCACCAATTTGGGCTTAGTAGGCATCTGGGAATGACTACGCTGAACAAGACAGCGTATTTACTTTGTCTGAATTTATTCTTAAGCAGTTGACCACTAATCTGGGAAAATACTGTAGATGTGTGTCCCACTTCTTATGTGGAGATGCTGCTTGCTTTTACATGTTGTTCTTTATGGTATAGAAGCTTTGTAGCACAAATCATGTGCCATGTGGATGTTAAAGCGATCGCCGTTACTGTGCAGCTTGTTTTACTCTGGCCTTGGCCACAAAGGCAATTGAATGGACCATAAAGCTACAGCTGAAAATAGCGTGGTCTATTTTCATGCCAGGCCAGGAAGAGGAATGATTTTTTATTGAAAGATTAAAGAAATGTAATTGTGAGGAAATGAAAGCAGATAACTTCTCGTTCTTGAGTTCTGCCAGGCCGTTCCATCCGTACATCTTCAGAACGTTTAAAAACATGTAGAGAGAAGCATTAGGCATGGGCAACCATCTTGTCTGTAACTGTCAGTAATAGAGTTGTGCTTTTTGTTGCATAAGGTTTTTCAGAATTGTACCCAATCAGCTTGGAAACAAAGTAAGGATCATTGTTGTAAAGTGAAGTATTCACTTGTCAGCAATCTCTTCAATTTTTCCTTTTTTTCCTTTGTTCTGTCCTTTTTACTAGAGATGCAAGACCGGCCAGTTCCAGCTGCCTAAAGCCTGTGGTGGATTGATTGAAGCCAATGGAGCCAAAACGCATCCGAATAGATTGATTTACAGTACAAATAAGGTTAGAAGAGTTTGATGTTTTTGTTATTGGAGGGCACTTTACGCTAAGAATTAGACAGATAGAGGTAACAAAATGCTTTGAAAGCACGTAGCTGATCAGTCTATGTCAAATGGTTTACAGTAGCATTCATAATGGGTCCAATAATTTGAGAAATATTCTGTTGCTTTCCAGAAAATGAAGTGCTAGCATAGGAAAGTCAAATCACAGCTGCACTGCTTGTGGTGAAGCTTCTTATAAAAAAGCCCAGTAAGGAAAAACGGTAAGTTAAGGAGAATAGTTACTGGTGGCAGGGTGGCAGATGCTCCGTTCTCACCTTCAAAGAAGGAAATGCAGAAGTTGCCCATACATACTGGAAGTGAATAAGATGAGTCCTGATTCCTTATCTTGGAGATAACGTGTAACAAAAGTTTGTCCATCTGCTAAACTGAAAGTTGTCACGTTGCATATTAATAAAGACTAATTATTGTTATACTTGGTATTGTTATCTGTATTATTTTGTTAATTTGTGATGTCTGCATCTCTTACATTTATTTTCTTTCAGCTTAGTCTAGGAGTCTTCTGGAGCATGAATCACCTCCAGAACTTAATCAAAGGGAATCAGCATCTATCAATTAGTGAATGTCCTGATCCTATTCTTGCTATTTCATTGTGAAGGGAATGGCAAAAAGGAATGTTCACAAAAGAAAAGGGAGGGCAGGAAAAGGGCAGTAAGGGATTTTTGGGTAAAACTTGCATAAAAATCTCATTTTGCTGTCTGTCTGATTATGTCTTTTGCTGGTGTAAGTGTTAGAAATGTTTGGAATTTGAATTGCTTATTTTGACATGGGTAGTTAAAATGAACAAGGGGAGGTGTGAAATGAAGAACTACTGGCTGCTCTTTGCACCTAGTCCTTTTTTCACCTAGTTTTCACCTTTTTCTTCTTTTTAGCCAGTTTCTCAGTTTTTTGAGCTGGTGAAGCAAACCAAACGTTTTTGGTTTTGGTTTTTTTTTTCTTCCAAAGATTGAAACAAAGTGGCTTGCACCACTTACATCAGGAATTGAGCTAAGAATAGACTCCAGGCCCTCAAAGCTGGGGCATGGCCTAATCACCGTGCCTGCCTGGAACACCTTTTACATTTGCAGAAATACCATTTGGAGGGCAGATCTGGGAGAGCAGAGGGTGGTAAGATGACAGATCTCACAAGGACCATGAAGATCTTCAGGTTGGGAGCGAGGGCCCTTGGTTTTGATGTTCTCATTTATCCTTTTCCAGTACAGAAGTAGAGAGAGGTGTAAGGGAGCTTCCTTAAGGTTAAAATAGCCTTGATGTAAGAATCTGTGCAGAGAGGAGGTGTCTTACAACAGGATAGGTAAGGTAGATAAGTTTTTGGACTGCAGCCTGTTATTTTGAATAGAAAAATACTTGTCTTTGAAATGTGAACTCGATGAGCTACTCCTAGTGGAAAAGTGGTTTAGATTTAAAGGCAAGCTCCAATTGTTTTTTTTTTTTTATATATTTTTTGACAAAGTGAAGAGGAATTTTATTTTGAACACTCAGTTTTTGTGTGTTGAGCAGGAAAGATGGGCTTGTGTGCCTTTCAGTGTTTTTGGTGAGCTTGTTTAAATTTAAAAGAGAAGATTTCAAAAATGTTTTCTGTTTGGTTTTATACACACTTAAATGACTGTTCAATTGCATTTAGCTACAGTTGTAGCATTGTCAGGATGAACTGTACATGTCTGTCCATACACTGAACAAAGAATTCACTGCTTAAAGCCCTGCTGCATTTCCTGAGCTAGTTGAGTCAGACTTCTGAATGAAGTAAGAGTTGTGGCAGTTTGTAGCAGAAGGCTGTTCTCAGCTCTTTTATGCTTTTTGGTGATGGGCTAACAACAGTTGAATCAAGAAAGTGTTGGCTTTTAACTTAATTTCCTCTGCATAATGAAAAGTCTGTAGCAAAGGAAGCTTCATAATGAATTTGTAGACAAGAGACACGTTGTAAAATTGGTGTGCCTGGGTTCACTAGGGATTTAGTATCACATTAATTGATGTGGAAGTTAATTTAGTGAGCTTGGTGTGACAGTGGTCATTGGGACCAAAGTTTCCCATTGAATGTATCCTGTTGTTGCCTGCTTGTCTTATAAAGAGGTTCTGTGGCATAAGATGAGGGGTCATTTTTAGTGCACAGAAGAATAATGCATGGGATAGGTAAAGGTGGGATTAAATCTTTATTTACCTATTCATAAACTCATTGGGTCCTATCACATGTGGCAGAGGTTTGGAAAGCACCTTTAGGTATGGCTGTTCTGCATGTTAGCAGTGGGTTGGTGAGCAGGTTTAACAGCCAGCATTCAAAGCAAAGGGGTCCTGGGCAGCAGGGTGCTGTCTTACTGATAGCTGATCAAATGGCACTGAGCACACTGCTTCATACTGACCTGGGCACGGTGGAGGTCAAGACACGGGCTGTACATGACATCTGTGGGCTGTACGTGAGTACAGATCGTTCTATCTCACATGCCCTCTGTATGCCATGGAGATCGATTCTGTCTCAAACTACATTTTTTATCACCTTTGCAGTCTTTTTTTTTTTTTTTTTTGTGGAAGTATGTCAGCTTGAGCTGAATATATGTCAGTATTTCAGTGCTTATTTGTCACTTATGTTGTTTCAAAAATTAAGGACGCTATAGAGAATGTACAAATGAGAAATCTGGAAAGCCTTCTGTATGTGGCTATTTTAGGGCTTTCCTGAATTAAGGACTGATAAATGGTGGGCATATACATAATACTAGTCTACAAAATTTGTAGAATAGACTGAGAAAGGGAATAGGTAATGGCAATCTGTAACTTCTTATAGATAAGTTGGGAGCTTTCAATGAACTTGCAAGGTCTGAGGCACAAGGGAATTGATTTTACACAACAAAGCAGTGAAATTCATGTAGAAGCGTGCCATGGAGGTTAAATATTCAAAAACTGTTTGGGGTGCTGAAATTGTAGCTTCCAAAAACAAAGGAGTGCATGCATTTCTAGTACAGGGATGAATCTTTAAAGCTGGGCAAGTACACCTTCAGGAGCTGCAGTGTGTGTGACTGTATTTCCCTGCTCTTCTAAGTAGCTCTTCCAGCTACTGGTATCTGCAACTGGTCCTTGCTGGAGCTGGGGCACTGGTCTGAGTGTTCTGGCCACGCATGGCAGTTCTTGTGTTCCTGAATTACTTCCCTACTGATGAAATTCTTGGTATTTTCATGTCTTAGGAGGAAGCGCGTTGTGAAATTCCATCAATTCAAAGCAATTTAACTTTCCTGGTCAAGGAACTTTCTCAGATGAAAATGGTTCACACCGGTATTCCTCAAGTATATGTAGGAGATTCACTTGCAGTAGGTTTTGGTTTGAATGGTGAAAATTAGTTTATTGCTGACATAGTACTTATACCAAATCATTAGAATTAAATATACTTGATTCATTAGAAATTCTTTTCTGGAGTACAAATGGCAACTGCATATTGTTGTTCAGTGCTGCAGTGATGTTTCAGGCAGAATACCATGAACATTTCTTATCAGCCTAGTGCTGTTTGAGATGTATTGGTAAAACCTTGATCTTCGTGTTTGCAGGCACTGCAAGTCACTGAGGACTGAATATTTCCCTGAGCTAGATTTTCTGCAAATAAAACTGAAAATATGTAACAGGAATAAGAATCTGGTGGAGCTTTTCAGTTAAAACAGTGGGTTCCTGTAGCTTCATTAATTTTAAGGGGAGTTGATTGGTTTATATCATATATAATTACTCTAGAATACAATATGTCTGTGAGAATGAGAGAAAATGTGAAAGGAGCCAGAATTTATCTTATTTATGATTTATTTGCTTTCCTTCTGTGATTTATTTCCTCATTTTATCTACTCAAGTAAAGGGCAGTCACTCAGAAAGAATATGGTAATCCAGAATAGGAGAGCACTGTATTAGAAAGCAGATTTCTGTACAATCAGAGCCTGAGCTTACAGTGGAGTGCTTGAATTTATAAATAGAGGAATGTAAAGTAAGAAAAACAGGATGCTATTCTGCAGAGAAAACTTAATTGTGTTCGTGTTGTTGAACAAAGAAAGTAACCAGAAAATCCAAAATTCTCTAAGCTTGTAGCCCGCCTCTGATCTGATGTGTCAGGTCTAATTGCTGAGACTGATGTGATAATCCTTCTGTTTTACAGCAACTTTCTGCAAAAGATTCTGTGCAGACATCTGAGGAGAAAGTGGGTCCTTTCACAAGGATGATAGAAGCCATGGGTTTCACAGGTCCACTGAAGTACAGCAGATGGGTAAAGCGTTTATTTGTCATCTTCTTGGTTGTCTGATACTGTTGGCTTTCTTAAGAAAAAAAAACAAACAGAAAAACCCATAACCAACTCTCTTTTGGTTGGAAGCAATGCTTACATGGAACAGTTCTAATTATTACCCATAAAAGTTACTGCTTTGTAATGTGGGAGTCTGGTAGTCCAGATCTGGAACCTGCCCTGGTTGCTGTGTTGCCATTTTGGATGTAAGCAGGGGTATTGGATTTGATCTGTAGAGTCTTAACTGAGCCTTCCTAAATTTGTTCCAATATCCTATTTTCCTCTTTGTTGGTGCACCAAGGGACATGATAGCAGCTTTATTATCTTAAAGTAAGTGCAGTGTCCCCATAGGCCAGCATCTTGTCTCTGATAAAAGAAACAATAGCAGTTATCTAGAAAGAATTTAATTACAGGAAAACCATGTACTGGTACTTGTCTCATGTGCTCCTCTACCTTCCAGCAGTTGTCTATTTCAGAACAACGTAAGCAGTTTTCTGTAGTATCCATTGATTGGTTTTTGTTCTGTCAATTTGTGCAGTTGCACTTGAAACTCTCATAAGCTTATAGTGTGTACAGTGTCCTGTATCACAGAGCTCCATAGCTGAAATACATGCTGTGGGAAGAAGTACAGTTGTTTTTATTTTTTTTTAAGAGGTGATTTTTTCTTTCCTTGGGGTGAATGTTCACATTCTCCTGTTCACTAGTGACTTTGCAGTCTCAGATACACCCTACTAGCTGAGCCTTCCACTGGACTGAAGGGTGCCTGGTCTAACTTGTTTCTATTGCTGGATCTCTGTCATGTTTTTATTTTTGTTGGCTTTCTTTGATTCTTCAGTGCTCCGTATTTCTGTGGCAGGAGGATCTCCCACACAGACAGTAGTGAGATGTGTTACCACTGCTGTTTGTGTTGCTTTTCAGTCACAGCTGAGCCAACGTCACCCAAATACCTTCTCGTTGGTGTTTTTTAAATAGTCCTTCCCTAAAGCTGTTGTTAACAGTGATTAAATGAGAACAGCTCTGTAAAACAGCTTCAGAAAGGAAAAAGGCAAAGATGAAATTCTGAACTTAGCTTTGACCAGGACATGGTATAAAGCAATCGCAGGAAAAGGTGCCATGATTCTATGACTGAGAAGGGCTGAGTCCATCTGCCAAAGTCAAAAGAGCTGTTCTGAATACCTGCAAGGCAGAGTGGATGTTCTCTGATTCTAGTATGGTGGAGTTGTTTATTGCATCTTGCCCCTCAGAAAGAAAATCCAAAGAAAAGATAACTGTATATTAAGGGGTGAGTTATTTTGTTTAAAAATCAGTTTCTTTTATCAGGGGCTGCTAAACCTCAGGAGAGGGTAGTTTCTCTCTCATGTGTTTGTATACATATTGTTGTAATAAAGATTCTCATTAGCTACAAGTGTTGATTCAGAGTTCTCCTTAATTGCTTCTCTTTACTGCTTGCTTTTGGCTGGGGAACTTGGGTTTGAAGAGAGTTATTTTGTGGTTAGGGCCCAGGAGACCTGAGTTCATTTTTGGCCTTGCCAGTGCTCTCTATGAGATCTTAGGGAAGTTTCTTAATATTTCTGTTTTTTTTCCACTTTCTTCTCCCTCCCCCCTTACCTCTTTTACCCACCAAAAACTCCATGATTAAATTTCACCAGTTTCTCCTGTGTTACTTGCCTAATTTAAAGGCTGGATTGCAGAAACTGCTCTTTACAATATGTTTTTAATGTCTAGTAATGCCTGTTCTGGGGCTGTGGCTTTCACAAGGGAGATCTTTACTCCCAGGCCAGGCAGTGCTTCCTTTAAAATGGAAACCTTCACAACTCCAGTAAATGGTGTAAATTATTTTACTGCAAGAATTTTAGACATGCACTCAATTGTTGAGGAAGCTTCTAATCCTTCATTTTTGACAGAAACCTGTAAAAATATAATAGCCCCAGTGTTTCCACAGATGATCAGTTGTAACTTCCATGTCCTGGTTGGAGGATACACAAATATTACTTGGGTAATTTGAAGTGTCATTCAACAGGTATAGGGTGTTTATCTGTAGCATAGTGATTACTGACACAATCCTTAATGGATAGCAATTAAAAACAAACAAATCAACCCAGGACTTCTTCCTGGCCTCCAGTTTTTTATTTCTTTTTTGCTTTCCTTGAGATTGATGGAAGGAATGGATAGTGGTTCTTCTCTTTCAGATCTTTCTGTCATTTCTTGTTCTCTTTGAAGCTTAAGCACATGTATCTTGTTTATACGTTATGCCCTAAGGTGTTTCTGAACAAAATTAAGCTCTGAAGCACCTGAAATAAACCTCGTATCATTCATCGTGTGGCGTTATTTCCTTGACTTTGAAGCTTTGCTGGTCAGTTTTCATTACTGTGGGGAGGAAGAAGATACTTGTAGTGCATGTCTGGGATATATATAACTTCTTAAAAGTTAAATTATACACAACACTGTTGCATACATAAACAGTGAAAATTATTGGAGGAAACTAAGAGTTGTGAATGGGGATCTTTGGAGTCTGTAGAGAAAGCCATTTCAATTATTTTTGTGATGTAAACGTTATATTAAACTAGATTTAGAAGGGTATTCAAATTACGTCATTTGGCCATGTGATTATACTTCGGTAATTCCTGAGCGATAAGATGATGTTTAATGTGCTCTTGAGAAATCTTGAGGGATTGTGATTCTCAGAAGTCTTTTTGGAAGATGGCAGCATATGTGTTTAACAAAAGCAGTGGTGTTCACCAGCTCTTATCATGAATGCTTTGTGTATTGTCTTCTCTTTTTCTTCAGAAAATTAAGGTAGCAGCTCTGCGCATGTACACCTGCTGCGTGGAGAAAACCGACTACGAGGAATTTTTTAACAGTAAGTCATGAATTTGATGCTACTGGAATTTGAAGTGTTACCCTGATGAGAGAAATGCTGGTGAAAATTGCATGTAACTATAAATAAGAAAGCACTTAGTCTTGCCAGGGGTTGAGCAGTGCATGGCCAACAAGAAGCTGTCTGTGCTACACCATTATACAGGACAGAGGTGCAGGGGAGAGCTCTGGAGCCTGAAACTGTTGGATTTTGTGTCCTGTAGTGATTAACAAGGGTGGGATAGGAAAAATCTCAGAATAACCTGGAATTGGAAGAATATTGCCTTTTTTACTACTGAGAGTGAGGTAAGAGAAGAATTCAGATACCTATTTCTTTTTTTTTTTTTTTTTTTTTTTTTAATGTGGTCCAATGTGTCCTATCTGTCCCTTGACTAGTTCTGAGAAGGTTCAGTGTAAGGCCTATCTTTGTCTGTTCACCTATTGCAAAATGTACTGAGAGGGGTTTGTTATATGGTGTTGCTGCTGCAAAAATTTCCAGTGCTTTTCAGAAGGTTTTCCAAAACTCTGATGTGGTTTCAGAGGTGGTAGAAGTGAGAGAACTTTATAAGCAGTTGGAGTCATCGTCAGTGATCAGAAAACTGGAACCTCATTTTTGCTGTGCACGTACCTCTGCTCAGCTGCATGCCCTCTCAAACTTTCCCTTCTTCATCATGTTTGCCTCTCAGATAGAGGTGTTACTGTTTCTAGCTGTTGTTTCACTATCTCTGCTTAACAGATTAATTGTAAAAAGGTGAGTAGATGTTTCCCTAGATAAAAGGGATTTTAAAATGTGTCTGGGAAGGAGATGCCACGTGTTTTCTTTGCCACAGATTTTCAGGCTCAGCACTGAATAAAAATTACTTCAGTTGTATTCTTGGCATTGTCTTGCTGTGTTAAAGCAAAGATAGTCAGAGCTCTCAGCTGTAAGTGTATCACAAAGAGCAGGTGATCTTTCCCTCATGTTTCCCTGTTTTCTCCAGAACATCACTGTTGCTCTGTTTTTCTTTTTGCTCTACAGTGTAAGTTGTAGCCAGTCCAGCTCTGATTTTACACTTAGGGAAATCTTATTGCATACACTTGAAACCTTTGTTCCGTAAGGAAATCACTTGTTTTGCTCAGATTGACAGTGTGCAATGTGTCTGTTGCTGTTATAAGAATCCCATGGTGTTGGAGTCATTGTGGCTCTAAAGAAACCGTTGCTCTGATACAAAAACAGGTGTAAGGAGTTTCTGTTATGGTTCTCTACCTGCAGCTGTTTGGGAGATTGGCTTTAAAACCGAACAGGCAAGTGATGCGATGTGTTTAAAGAGTAGTTCCCCTAAGGCACGGTTTGGATGGGATGGACAGGGACCTTTTAACTGATGTAAAAGAGCTTAGGCTGTAATTCCATGGGTAGCTGAGTTGAAGCAGTGGCCGAAGGGAAAAGGATCTGTGCTCCTCATGAGCTCTCTGCCTGTTCTCTGGACAGGAAATTACATATCTACTGAAGTGTGTAGGTCACTGTAAGAAACTAGTTCAGTGTTTTGCTGGCTTACTGTTTTGTTGTGTTGGGGAACTAGTGGCACATAGAAGGGTCTGATGGCAAGCAGCTGGCATGAATTGAGTGGTGAGGAATATGCGTTTAAAAGATGGGAAGCATGGAACCATGCAAGATACCCAACTTTTCAGATCCTTTTTTTTTTTTTAAATCAAACTAGATCAGTGAGAATGGGGTTTTCCTGAGTTGTTCCTTTTTCAAGTGAAGATGGGCAAACCTTAAGCTAGGACCACAGCTCGTTCCCGAATGAGCAGTCTGGGTGACTGGAGTAGCAGGAACCCAGGAAGCAGTTACCCTTAGCTCTGTCTCTCAGTGATGTAGCAGGCAAAGGTGCACCTGAGACCATGCTGGTGTGGGTGCTGCACACCTACACGATAAATTGCACTGTTCAGGACCCTTAAGAATAGTAATGCTGTGGCACGGGACCCAGCTCAGGTCTATCCTCACTGAAACTGGCTGCACACAGACCTAGCAGAGTACTTTTTACTTTTTTCTTGGCTTTGCTGCCCCCAGCACTTCTGGCTGAAGTTGTATGGTGTTGAGGTATCCAAGTGAACTGCACAGAGTCAGCTCTGGTCTCTGGAGAGCTTATTAGCTTTTTCTCTGTAGTTTGTGAAAGCTGTTAACCTACTGAGCTGGCCTTGAAAACAGTACACCCATGCATGTGTAAAACCATTTGTGGGCTGATTAACCCTGTGTGATCTGAATTGGTTCTTCAGTGTTTCTGAACTTGCTTTTGTGATGTGGTTGCGCTGTGGCTTGAATCATAACTGCATGACCACGCAGATCTCATAGTGGTGTGCAGACTTCTGTAAGGTGGTTTTCCAACAAGTGAGATAGAACTGCCTGGATATTATGGTGCAGTGACAGATAGTACTTCACATCTTAAACTACTGCGCTTTCTCAGTGCCTTTCTCATGATACCCAGTGAACTTTCTGAGAGTTTCTCTAATGCAGAATGAGCCGTGTGAACTGCCTTTCTCTGTGTTATGCTTTTGAACAACAGTACCCAAAATACAGGAGTTGTGAATCCACCGAACATGTGAAGGGGGTGTTGCAATTGAGGCTGTCTGGTGTTCTATGGCAGTTAATTTTATTGTACCTGCCATTCTGCTGTCCCTTTGTCCATAAATGATCATCAAGCAAAATTTTGGGAATTTTTGTTAAGGGCTGATGTTCCAAATGTCTGCTATCCTGTACTGCTTATATGGAAAGTGGAGCTGTTTTGGGACTTCAGATATACTTTGTGTAAAAGGGAACAGAGAAGTAGTAGAGGGAATAGCTAGATTACCAGCAGAAAACTTTCTGTGCATGAAGCTTGTGAAGTTTGGGTAGTTCTAACAAATGAAGTACCCATTTGTGAGGATAATGCCTATCTTATAACTGAAAGACTAGAAGAGCTCTTAGGAGCAGGTAGGTGATACTGAGAGCTGAGCTGGAATTTGTCGATGAGCCTGATCTATGGGGTTGCTGCAGTTCATCTTGAACTGTTAATACTATTAATTGCTCCACGGTCCGGCAGTTGTTGTAGCAAAGTGATGGCTCTATTTCCAGCAGTTTCTAGTGGGACTAACAAAGCAGCACAGAAGGGCTGGAGTTTACCTACAGCACTCTGAATCCTTCTGTTCTCTGCAGCCTTTGGGACATCCTGTAGATACCTGCTGCTCTCCCTGTCAGTCAGTATGAGTGGGATGCTGACACAAAAACACGCCTGTTTTATGTTTTTTTTTTTTTTTTTTTTTGCAGGATGTGGAGATGTTATCTTATTTCATCCTTCCTTAAATTGTGGTAGTTGCATTTTCCATCACGAGAAATTCTACATTAAAGTTTGTTTCTCTTACCTGATGAATTTTAAGTGCAGTGTATGGCTGGAAAAAGATATATGTCCCCATAAGCCCGAGTGTTTATGTCTCTTAAATACACAGATGTGAACAGAGTGTGTTCTGCAGGCAAAACAGATTTATTCCCCAGCTGATAATATCACAGTATTTCACAGGTGGTTTTACAGTCTCACATTTTTTTTTTCTATATCTAACTACATTCTGAAGGGAATAATTTTCTATTGAATTTTAGGATGGATATTTCTTCCCTTTTAGTTTTCTGATACCAGGTCTCCTGAAACTCCAAATCTTGGAAATGCCTCCTTTCTAAAAGGCTGGTAACTAAGGACAAAGTTGTTACTCTAAAGCAACATCCCTCCTTTGAATTAGGACATAGCCAGTCCTAATACAGAAATTAGAAAGTGAATGAAGAAACAGAAGTGCAACACTTGGGAAGTTAGAGGAAAAAATTCTTCCCTGAATTCTTCTACTGAATAGGTCTTTAAAAACTTTCAGAATTTCCAGCAGTGAAGGTGTGAGCTTTGCTTTGCAATGAAGAGCAGTTTCTGTGGTAGCAGACTGATGCATGCGAACTTCTATTTCAGAAACCTCTGTCTGTTGAACTAAGTGTTTCACTCTGAACCTTGTCTGTGGAACCCTCATTTAATTAACTGGTTTGATTAATGCAAGCACTGTGCACTCTTGCTCTGGTTGGAGATCCTTTGGCTTGCCTTTAGATCAGAGTATTCATTTCTGAGGACTTGAACTGTTTCTGCTTGCAATGAGACAGCCAAAAGGGGAGAAGGGTGGGGGAAACCTGTGGTTAACCTCCAAAACATACTGTTAGTCAGTGACTTTATACGCTCTTAGTGGTGGTGTAGGTGATCTATAGGCATTGATGCTGAGGCTTGGCACGTTCTGTCCCCTGATGGCATCGTCACTTTGAGGAGGAGGAATAGTGATGAGTTGCTTGTTTGCTGTGGTGGCTGCCTGACCGTGGTTGACATATAAAAAGAAAGAGCCTGTAAAAATTTTGCTTCGTGATCCATGTGAGCCTCCTTTTTACTGCCTGAGAGCCAGGAACTATAGGAGTTAGGAAAGAATGCATTGCAGTACCGAAAAAGGGATTGACTTCCCTGAGGCAGATCCAATGGGAAGGTCTGCTTCTGAACACTCTGCATCCCGGGTTTGAGTAGTCCAGAAGATGAGGCCAAGTGCTGGGTAGGCCAGGGTGTCAGATGCTTTTCATTAGGTACTTCTTCAAGGGACAGCTGTGGAAATGGCTTCCCATGAGGAAGCTTTAAATCTGAGAGGAACTGAAGGACTTCTGTGCACATAACCCCTAAGTCCATGCTTTCCTAGCATGAAGAAGAGCGGTCTGGTTTCTGTGGCATAGAGCCTGAATCTCCGGCCTCCCAACATCAAGACATGGATGGTTTTATGGTGTAATGTCCATGTGCATGTAGACATTTCTGGGAAACCCAGCAGCTGTAGTAGTAGAACAGAATATGGAAAGAGAGATTATTTCCGTGGCTGGTTTGTTCTTTCAATCCTGATGTGTGATGGCTTGAGGCAAGGTGCTCCGAGAGAGCCGTGGGTTGTGCAGCCACCGAGCAAGTAGAATCATAGAATCATAGAATCACTAAGGTTGGAAAAGACCTAAAAGATCACCCAGTCCAACCGTTCACCTATTCCCAATAGCTCCTACTAAACCATGTCCCTCAACGCAACATCCAGTCTTTCCTTGAACACCCCCAGGGTCGGTGATTCCACCACCTCTCTGGGCAGTCCATTCCAGTGCCTGACCACCCTTTCTGAAAAGTAATACTTCCTCATGTCCAGCCTGAATCTCCCCTGCCGTAGCTTGAAGCCATTCCCCCTGGTCCTATCACTAATGACACGAGAGAAGAGGCCGACCCCCAGTTCACTACAACCTCCCTTCAGGAAGTTATAGAGAGCAATAAGGTCTCCCCTGAGCCTCCTCTTCTCCAGGCTGAACATTCCCAGCTCCTTCAGCCTCTCCTCATATGGCCTGTGTTCCAGACCCCTCACCAGCTTTGTTGCCCTTCTTTGAACACGTTCCAGGGCCTCAATATCTTTCTTGCAGTGAGGGGCCCAAAACTGGACACAGCACTCGAGGTGCGGCCTCACGAGTGCTGAATATAGGGGAACAATCACCTCTCTGCTCCTGCTTGCAACACTGTTTCTGATGCAAGCCAGGATGCCATTGGCCTTCTTGGCCACCTGGGCACACTGTCGGCTCATGTTCAGCCGAGCATCAATCAATACCCCCAGGTCCATTTCCTCTACGCAGTCCTCCAGCCACACCGCCCCAAGCCTGTAGCGTCGCCTGGGGTTGTTGTGGCCGAAGTGCAGGACCCGGCATTTGGCCTTGTTGAAACTCATCCCATTGGCTCCAGCCCAGCTCTCCAGCCTGTCCAGATCCCTCTGTAGGGCCTCGCTACCCCCAGGCAGATCCACACTTCCAGCCAATTTGGTGTCATCTGCGAATTTACTGAGGGTGCACTCGATGCCCTCATCCAGGTCATCAATAAAGATATTGAAGAGGACAGGCCCCAGCACCGACCCCTGCGGAACACCACTCACGACCGGTCGCCAGCTGGATTTAACTCCATTCACCACCACTCTCTGTGCCCGGCCCTCCAGCCAGCTCCTTACCCAGCCAAGAGTGTACCCATCCAAGCCTCTGGCTGCCAGCTTCTGCAGGAGAATGCTGTGGGAGACAGTGTCAAAGGCTTTGCTGAAGTCTAGGTAGACCACATCAACAGCCTTTCCTTCATCCACCAGATGGGTCACTAGATCATAGAAGGAGATCAGGTTGGTCAAACAGGACCTGCCCTTCATGAACCCATGCTGGCTAGGCCTGATCCCCCGGTCACCCTGCACATGCCGCATGATCTCCCTCAAGACGATCTGCTCCATAACCTTCCCTGGCACCGAGGTCAGGCTGACAGGCCTGTAGTTCCCCGGATCCTCCTTACGACCTTTCTTATAAATGGGAGTCACATTGGCAAGCCTCCAGTCTTCTGGGACCTCACCAGTCAACAAGGAGCGCTGACAGATGGTGGAAAGCGGCTCGGCTATCACCTCCGCCAGTTCCCTCAGCACTCTCGGGTGGATCTCATCTGGCCCCATCGACTTGTGACAGTCCAGCTGGAGCAGTAGGTCTCTGACTGTTTCTTTCAGAATCACAGGGGGGTTAGTGTGCTCCCCGGCCGAGATTACCAGGTCAGAGAGAGGGGTATCCTGAGGATAACTGGTCTGACTTTTAAAGACAGACGTAAAGAAGGCATTCAGAACCTCCGCCTTTTCCTTATCCTCAGTGGTCACATTCCCAGCCTCATCCAGCAAAGAGTGGATATTCTCCTTTGTCCTCCTCTTACTGTTAATGTATTTATAAAAGAGTTTCTTATTCCTTTTCACACCAGCGGCTAGGTTAAATTCAAGCTGGGCTTTTGCCTTTCTGATTTCACCTCTACACATCCTAACAACTTTCCTGTATTCATTTTGAGTGGCCTGTCCCTCTTTCCACAGGCGGTAGATTCTCTTTTTCTCCCGGAGCCTCAGGAATAGCTCCCTATTCATCCACGCCGGTCTTCTTCCCCGCCGGCTCATTTTGCAGCTCAGGGGGACTGCCTGCTCCTGCGCCCTTAAGACTTCCTTCTTGAAGAGCAACCAGCTCTCTTGGACCCCTTTGCTCGCTAAGACTGAATGCCAGGGGACTCCCCCTTAGTCCCCTGAACAATTCAAAGTCCGCCCTCCTGAAGTCCAAGGTAGCAGTATTACTATTCCCCCTCCAGGCTCCACTGTGAATCACGAAGTCTATCATTTCATGATCACTCTGTCCAAGACAGCCTCCAACCTCCACATCTCCCACCAAACCTTCCCTGTTTGTGAACAGAAGTACAGCAGCTGAGTGAGAGCAAAGTGCCAGCTAGCACAGTGAGCAGAAAGGAGAGCAAGAAAGGAGGAGTGCAAGAACTGGGCAAAGCATCCACAAATACTTCCTTGTTATTCTTTCCTGCTCTGGGACGTCCTGAGATAGAAGCCATATCTTTTTCTTTGTGATTCTTCATTGTGTTTTTTTTTCCTCCTGTTAGTTTTACCTCAGTTCTAAATGTATGAAGCCTTTTGGTATCTACAGTGTCCTGTGACTGCACATTCTAGATCTTAATGGTGTCTGACAGTAAATATTTGCTCCCAATATGTTCTTACTGAGTAAAGCTAGAAATTTAATTACTAATATCTATTCAGATTTTGGTAAGTGAATCTGTTAGGTAAAAAAAAAAACAGATTAAATTTAAATTAACATTTGTTTTTATTTTTTTTTTCTCTCTCCCATCAAGGGTGCCAAATGCCTGATACATTGAATTCATGGTTTCTAGTAGCCCAGCTTCATGTCTGGTAAGTGAAGCTTGAATAGCAATATAAATAGTCTCAGGAAGTAAAATGATACGTACCTTACTGTGCAAAAAATTAGGCTCCGTGATTATTGATAAAAGTGGTAATATTCAATTTACAAAATAATGAATTCTAATAGTTTTCTACTAAGGAGCAAAAAAACCCATGGAGAAACTGACATCTTAAATCTCTGTATTTCTAGGTAATGGAATAACCCGTGCCGTGAGCTTTCTAAAAGCCTTACTCAGCCTGTGTGGAAAAATCCCATTTAGGTGTTTTAGGAAAAGTTTAAATTTATGTAGAAGTGGTTTAAATTGTGAGAATTTGTGGTGGTTGAAGTTTGCTGCTTGTCAGAAGCATTTAACAAATTATAGCACTGGCATTTATTCTTGCGCCTCTGAAATGTATGCACAGGTTGGTGAATGCCAGCTTGGCTACATCTAAAAATATTTAACACCTTAAACATTAAGTTTTTTTCCTCCTTTTTCATTTGTGAAAAGAGTAGCCAAAAAAATCAGTTTTTCATCTAATATTACATACTTATAAAGGTCAGCAGGATGCACAGGGGAGTACAGTAATTCTTGTTAAGTGCCAGATCTTTCATGAAACTGAAGTCCATAGACTTACATTTTACTACCCAAAGACTCGAAAGGAAGTTTGTACTAAAATAGTTGCACTTAAGAACAGGCCTCTTATTTCCTTGCCTCCTTTTTTTTTTTCCCCCTTCCCTCCTTTTAATTTCCTGTCTCCTCAATATATTGAAAGATGGGGCAGCTCATTTCACTAAGGAATGAATTAATCAGCGGAACCATTGAATTGGCTAATGAAATCAGTGGACTCAATTAATGGGTCACCCTTGAGATTTGCAGTCTGTTTCTTACTGTTCCATGTGAAAAGGGCTTTAACAACTGAATTAATAAGCTAATCATTTGGTTTGATATTTGGAAAACTGCTGCAATAAATTTTCAAACCAAACCATTTGTAAGTACTTCAGGAGAAACAAAGGCAGGTAACACAAAACTGCAAAAAACACACTTTTTTCACAACAATTTTGCATTGACAGGGAAATGTGCCATGTATTAGCATGGCATTTTGAGGTGCACAATATTCTTTCACAACTGACAGGCATGAAAATAAATAAGGGAGCTATGATAGAGAAGGTAGTATTTGACAGACATGGAACGTCTGAGATCACAGTTATGTCAGAGGAAGCCAACAGTTGCTTCTCTTCGAACCTGTGATGCTAAGGAGACCCCTGGGGGAAACTGAAACATTCTTATGCTTAACCTATATTCAGTGTTAACAAGAAAGTCCTGCACAAGCAGAAAGGAACAAAATCACTGTTTCATTGGACAATGATGAAAATGCGAATCTGGAAGGTAGTGCGAGGCTGATTTTTAATACGAGGCTCGTTTTTTCTGAAGTTTTTGTACCTGGCTTCTCCTTGTTTCTGGCAGCTTGACCTTCATGAATGCTGTCATTCTCACAAATCAGAGATCTGGTTTGATGCTCTAGAACACAGAGAAGCCTACTCACTACCGGAGCCACTGGAACATGGCTGCATGTTTTGCTTGTGACTATCTCAGTGGCCAAGATTCTGCTGTGATACATAGCAGATATATCACTATGTTCTCTCTGATTCTCTTTTTTAAATCAGTATCTCAGTAAAGAGGGAGTAGGACATGAGGGATTCTGCTAACACTGGCTTATGTAAAGGCACCCTACTTCTGAAGGCTCGAACACCTATCTCTCCTCCTAGCCTTTTGTCTCAGGCTAGAAGTCTTTCTAATATGGCAGCCAACAACCGTACCATAGATTCTGTTTGCCATCTGTTAAGATGTTCCTGTTCCCCCTCATAAGTCTAGATCACTTTCTGGATTACTCGTTCCTTCCTTCTTCACCTACAGACACTGACTTTCAACTGATGTAGAATATCTTCTGAAGCAGGAAAGGATAAGATTTTTTTATATATACTTAGGTAAAAACCTTCCTCCTCTCTCGCTGCTGTCATTATCCATCGTGTTCCAGTCAACTCTTTGTGCTGCTAGATCCCACCTCTTATAAACTTTAAGATGCTTGTCAGACCATACTCCTTGCATTACAGATTCTGATCGATTCACTGTTGGAATATCTGTCTCTTTATTTTCTCTCCTTTTCTATGAACCAAATTTTCTATGTAACCAGAAAGGAGGGAGAGAATCAGAAACTCATTTAGTTCAGTTTTCATTAACTTATTAACTTATTAACTTAAAGATAACGTTCCTTCAGATACACTCAATTTCCTTCCAATGTTCTTCTAAAATTATACTTTAGAAAATCAACCTACTAGTGTTCTTCCCTGAGTTTTATAGGTTATTTCAGTTACCTCCCACCCTTGATGTCAGGAGGACATCAGGCTCAGAAGCCCATACCTTCTAGGAAATCTCAGGCTTTTCATTCCTTCTGCCATGTTATTCTTTTCTTGTGACAGTCTAATTGAAGTATAGGCTGTGTCCACACAGCTTCCGAATTGCAAAAGAGATGACTTTGACTGTGGTAAGAAATGTCTTGTCTTATGTCTTATGTGGTACATCCTGCTTTGCGTAGCTCTTAGGGTCAGAATACAGCAGAGCTTCAGTTCCCTTTCTGAAAGTCAGCAAGGTTTGTTCACTACTTTCTGTAAGAAAAACTGTGCTTGTGAAAGTGTTGATCAGTTTGAATGAGTGTAGAGGAGAAGAACCATCAAGTTTGTGCAAAACAGTTCCTGCAGGGATAAATGTATCAGATTTGCAGAGAAAGGTCTGAGGCTGCTGTATTATTTTGAGGTACGCTGTCTCAAAAGAGAGTAAACTGTCCATGGTTCATCCTAGAAGAGCAGAGTGGAAGGAGTTTAAAATTACACCAAAGAGAGCAATATCTTACCTGAGAGACATTTTAAGAACAAGTTTATCTGGGATGTCTTAAGGTTGATCCTGCCTCACCATGAGCAAATGGGCTAAACAACCTAAGTGCAGGCATCAGGATGGAGGGAGACTACACAGCCAGGCTGAGGTCTGTTAGCTTGTACCTCCACAAAAACCTGAACTTAGCTGTAAATACTGTACCTAGTGAACTTGCTAGCAAAGGATATCATGTGAACTTGCTAAAGGAGATAGCAAGAGTTCAGAATTCTGGTCTATACCATTATTCTGAGCTTCCATTCATGATGGAGGTGCATATCTCCACATCTAGTTGAAGTCTATTCAGGAGATTTCTTCTGTCTTGAAGTTGCTGGCACTTCATGGATGATGGGTTAAACAGAACAAAACAGCAGCCTTCTTATTTGGTTGGTGTTACACCTATTGTTAAACCAGAGTCATTTATCTGGTCTGGTATGATGTAACCCTAGAAATAATTGCCTTGGAACACCTGAGGAAGGCAGAATGCCTGGTCCAGTGAAAGGGGATAGCAGGAAGCTCTGAGTGGGCTTTAACCTTGAAGGTTTAATGCTTCATCAGGCATGGGCTGCATAGCACTGAGCTGCATCTCAACACTTGGATACAGTAGTGCTGATTTCTGCTTCTGGAGCTTAAACCAGTATGTTTTACTGTACTGGCAGAAGCAGGCACTTCTGAGGCTCCTGTTGGAAACTGCTGCTTCTCACCTCAGGTGGAAAGAGGATGTATGTGCTCACGTTTCTTTTCAGACATCCTTACGTATTATTTTCTTCTAGTGTAATCTTTCTGCCTAATTAAATATGACATAAATTATCCACCCCAACCAATAGTAGGCAATTTTCTAAAGATGGTTTGGAATAGATTTGCTTTCGTGATTTGACAAAGATGAGTCAGTATTTCAGTAAACTGCAGAACAGATTTGGTAGTGAAATGACAAAATGTTTCACACTGTGTTGACCCAGTTAGAAAGTTTATAGTCTTTAAAGAGCGCGCGTCTTTTTAAACCTCAGACGGCAGGTGTAGTAATAAACTACCAAACTTTAAAATAAACTGCAGAATTCCATGATCTCACTCGTGGTGCTGCAGAACGGCTCTATGACAGCACTATGCATCCAAACACAGAGCTGCCTTTTAGGCTTCGAGGGTAGCAGGCTTTCCTCTGAGCACTGCTCCATTCCTGCTCATCGGTGAGCGGTTGTTAACTGCTGGTCTTTGTGCTGCACTCTCCTCTTGGTTCACTGCTGCTGAAGGGAGACGGATGGGAGCTTGTATTTATGCATGTGGGGGTGATTGCCAAGTCTCTCTTGCTATTTTTTTTTTTTTCCCTGAGGTTGCGAATTGAGTGAGAGTAGTGTAAAAATACTTCTCTCAACCCAAAGTTAGGCTTCCAAGTCTTAGGCTGAGTGGTTTTTCTCTTTGACTTCGTAAGAGTGAGCAAAAAAAAAACTTGGAATACAGCAACTCTAACTAATTAACTGTTTTGTACAGGTTAATTATGTAAAAGCATAAGAGGAACAAAGGTTTTGAAGCTGATGAAAGTAAGACAAGTTTTAAGCTCACAATGTGTCTGGCTCGTGTCAGGGCTGATAACTAGAGAGGTGTTCTGAATTCTGGATCATCATTCTAGCTGAAAGCTTTGCAGTTTTTCTTTTAGCAAGATGCTGATAGGTTTACTTCTTGCTACCATCTTCACAGAATCTGGAGCACCTCTCCCATGGAGAAAGGTTGAGGGAACTGGGCTTGTTTAGCTTGGGGAAGAGAAAACTCCAGGGAGACCTCATGGTGGCCTTCCAGTACTTGAAGGGAGCATATAAACAGGAGGGGGAATGGTTGTTCACAAGGGTGGATAGTGACAGGACAAGGGGGAATGGATTTAAACTGAGACAGGAGGTTTAGGCTGGATATTAGGAGGAAGTTTTTCACCCAGAGGGTGGTGAGGCACTGGAACAGGTTGCCCAAGGAGGCTGTGGATGCCCCATCCCTGCAGGCATTCAAGGCCAGGCTGGATGTGGCTCTGGGCAGCCTGGGCTGCTGGTTGGGACCCTGCGCATAGCAGGGAGTTGGAACTGGATGAGCACTGTGGGCCTTTGCAACCCAGGCCATCCTATGATTCCCTGATTCTTTGATCTAAATTGTAATTGTTTGCTGGGTTCTGTTAGAAATGGAATTGTCACTACCACCATATATATCTTGAGAATCCTTACAGCTCTGTTTCCTGAGCCAGGAATTGCTGCTCTTCCCAATGTTCCCTTTGCTGACTGCTGTCCTTCCCCTTCTCTCCCTGTTATCCTCTCCCAAGGCTCTCACTCACTTACCCTCTTTGATCACTGATCTCCTTGCCATGCCTCAGTCCCTCTCCAATCTTTTGACCTCATTCTGCCAGGACTGTTATGCTGGAGCCTGACCTGCCTCTCACCTGGTGGCTGCCATTTTCAAAAGCATTCATGTACAAATCGGGTTCTGGCTCAAGGGCTTTTCTTCTTTTGATACTGTAGTGTGAGTGGAATGGACCTTGTATGGGACTTAAATGTATGGTTCTATTTAGAAAAGAGTATAGGAGCAATGCAGCTCTTTCAGCTTGTTTTACCTCTATGACTCAACATTGGCAGTAAGTTTTGCTTCCTTTGCTGGTTAAGAAAAAAAAACCAAAAAAACGAAGAAACACTTTCCTTTACTAACTGGCAAATCAGATAGAATCCATCATGAAGATTGGCATCTGCCCTTTTACAGGTCAGCCCAACAGACAGGCTTCAGATGTTTATGATTTTCCCTGTTGAGCTGGCATTCACAGAGCACCGAATACTTCTAATGCCTGAAGGGAGGCCCAGATCTTATCTCCGCTGTAGAAATGAACAGATACATAAATCATTTTTACCTCTTAACTCTTGCAGTGCTTTCACTATTAGTAACACGGCTGCTTCAAAGTGGCCTATAGCAGCTCTGCTCTCTTGCTCTTTCAAAAGGTGTGAGAAAAAGCTTTTACATGAACAGCCCCCCAAGCATAGCATGTCTCTGTGCAAATCAGTGACTTATTTCAGCTTCAGTGTTGGAGCATCCTGTCATCCCAGCTTTCTGCCTTGCAGCATAGCAGCAGAGCTGACTAGCAAGGTAATGAACGTGTTCTGGTGGTGGGACTCATCTCCGAGCTCAGTGAGGGAGCAGCCTGCGATTCAGTTCATGCTGTTTACAGATGTAATTAAAAAAAAAAAAGTATGGTTGTGATGGCTTGTTTTTTGGACTGAACAGCACCAGTAGCTTGAGTGGCTTTAAGGTAAAACAGCCCAACCTGGTATTCTCATTAAGATCCTGCTCACAAACTTGTGATTTCTTCTCACATGTAGGGGTTTTGCCAAGTGGTTGGATGTATATCCTAAGACCCCTGTAGATGAAATAATTTAGGACATTGCTAATATGAGTTTGGGTGAAGTCTGTGACCTGCTTAAGCTTTCACTACTTGGCTAGTGCAGTCTTTTCCAGTATTTTAGTATACCAAGCTGAATTACAGCTGGCTTGTAGCCTAGGATTAGAAAAGACATTTGTTCTTGCTCTAAAGGATGATATGTTCTTAAGGCTCTGGAATTTAAGTTGCAGTACTGCTTAACTAGATTACAGTGCTGTCAGCCAAAATAGAATCCACTGTCACTCTTCCGTAGCTGGATTGGCCAAAATCCAGGAGATACAGCTCTCAAGTACAGGATGAACAAGTTTATGATAGTTGCTTTTTAAAAAATCTTATTTTTATTAACTGATAATTTATTAACTGATTTTATAACTGACAAAAGCATGTACTGTAAGAAGAATCTTAAGTGAGCTGAAGCTGATTAAATTTATTGTTTAAACTTGAAGAAAAACTAAAAGCTATGGATGTGGTGTGTATGTTCCTGCAGGATGTGTCTGGTGCGAATGAAGCAGGAGGGTCGAGCAGGAAAATACATGTGTCGCTATATCGTCCACTGCATGTGGGAGGATGTTGAGCAGCGTGGCAAGGTGATGGGGGTAAGTTAACTCTGGTGCTGGTAACCTTGATGACTTTAATGACTGAGTTCTTGCAATGGGTTTGTAATTTTGCATATCTTGGAAGAATGCTTAATAATAAATCTTGAACGTAGCTACGCGTATATTTCTTTATGAGCTTCAGCTGGTACAAGTGGATATCATCTTGGCCACTCATTCCTGCAGCTGTTGTACTGAGCCACTGACTTTGTTTTGATAACTGTATCACGGCCTGGGTGTGATGATGATTTGCATGGAAGTCATTAATTTTTCAGATATTTGCCATGTGATTACATAAACAAGGACACTGCTGTAACAGGATGGGCATTTGGGGATAGGAAATAAGCAGTTCGAGTAGGAAGATACGTCACTAGTGCCAGGCTTACAACTGCAATTTAAGTCATTCCAGAAGAGCTTTGAGTTTTCTCTGTATCCAGGATGGTGAGCAAAAGGAAGGTCAAGGGACAAAGCTATTATGTTAAGTTCCTGCGCGTGACTACGTACTTTTCATTAGTTTAATTTTCATTCTGGATTCTTAATATATCTAGTCATTTCAAAAGAAAAGTGTTAAGGAAAGCATAGCTCCAAGGATAGTTGATTTGGAAGTCTGAAAGAAGAAGAGACTCAGTCTTCTTGGCCTATACTATGAGCAGGGTTATGCTAGGTAGTTGTAACACTGACCCTGTAGTCTGTGGATATGTTTCTCCTTCATCGTGTTGGTGACAGTGTCCAGTATGACAGTGGTGGCAGTAGCCTGATGTAGTTGAGAATATCAATGTTCAGGATACTTCTAGTGAGAGACCAGGGCTAGGAAAGGTCTTCTGTAATGCTGGAAAAAGAAGTATAGAATTGTTAAATTATTATATAGAGGTTTTTCTGACGAACAAGGAAATTAACGAGTGAGTTTATGATTTGGTGTGAGATGACACCAGTAATTCAAGAAGTTTTCTTTTTGTTGATATTCTGTTTTGCATATGGTCGGTCTTAAAAAGCATTGATTCTGTTGCAACTTCAGTGATTCTATCAATCTTTTTATTTTAGTTTTTTCTTTTTTTCCCCAGTCTGTTGAACATTAACTTTCCTTGTTACAGATTGGTTTTTAAGATGGGTCTAAATTTAGGCATCTTAAAATTTCTGGCTACATTAATGAGCAAGACAAAAAGAAATGGGAATCCTTCTGTCCTGGTCAGATGCCATGAGGCAGTGTGATCAAGCCTGGGCAAATTAGGTGATTGCTAGTACAGAGCATTCTTCGTAGCACTTTCTTTTCTGAAGCTCTTAAAGTATTCTTGCATTCTAGGAGACAGACAATGATATAAATACTCATATAACAGGTTTCAAACAGCTGCTTTTGTGCAATGCCTGTTGGGCACAAGCACTTCACAGAGCAGAGGAACTGAACCAGTTTCTGGAAGTCTTGAAGGCCAGATGGCGAACACCTCACATTATTAACTGGCTATTCTAATGTCTCTGTATTTACTTTAAGCATTGCAAATTATTAATTAGCATTCTAAACTCATCTTTAATTGTATTTCTCACTTATTTTGTTTTCAGTATTTCATTGTCCTGTGCTTTTGGCCTTAATTTCCTTTCTAACCTAGTCCTGGCTAAGAGAGAGAAACAAAAACATTAAGCCCATGGTGTGTGAAAAGTATGAGGAAAAAGATGGAATTAAATGGGAAACTTACATGCTTTTGTCCTTTTCCTGTGCTTTCCATGTCGTAGCAGTGGTTGCTTCATGTTTCTGAAGGAACTGAAGGCAATTCAGATCCTTGATATGGGTGTAAATTTAAGGTTGCTTTTTCATAAGAGCAAACAAAGAAAAAAAAAACTACACTGCTGCTCCCCAATTCTCCAAAAATCCCTTTGGGGTTTTTTGAACTCCATCTGGGCACAGAGTGAATGCTACTTCTGGACAGAAAGCTGTTTTCAGTTCCTTTTGACATTGATTTTTCCTAATACCAACTAACCTCAAATGCCATCACCTAGTTTTCCTTGCGGGGTTTGAAACAGCAGAAAGCAGCAACGAGAAGCAAAGCTGTTTGCTACTCCTAAAATCATGCTCAAGCTCAAAAATGAAGCATGGTGCAAGTTAGAATTGTATGAAGTTTAATGAAGAACTTGAAAGGGAAAAAGATAAAACTCATAGTCTGTTCTTTGTGAAGAAAAGCATGCAACCATTTCTGCAAACTGAATTATTCCTTTGCTCTCAAAATTCCCCCCAGAATGTTTTAAATGAGAAGAAAAAAGTGTGTCCTTATGCTTTTCATCCAATCTGGAGCTTCTAATGTTAATAAATGCTTGTTATAATTGTATGGTTGCTGTATGATGCAACTGTGAAGAGTTCTTAAGTGGTTTGAATGCCATTCATTCCCTGCTTGACAAGCTAGGCGCCTTTTCAGTTTGTCTTTGAGTTTAAATTTCACAATCTTTAATGATGATGATGCAACATAATAGCAAACAGGCTCAGATTGTAATAATGTGATTCCTGTGATGTGTTTTACATTGGTTCTAAGATAGTTTTTGGCTGTAGCCTAGTCTTAACGTAGCTTTTATGTAGCAATAGCTGATGCTTTAACAAAGTATGTACACACTTAAAGTCTTGATCCCACAAACAGCTTCATCTGTGCCTATATTTAATGTTGTTGAACTTCACAGAGGCCCTTTGATTTTAATTACATTCCTTGTAAGAGAAGGTAAACTCTGGAGTGACAGCTAACTAGATGTGTGTAGACGTGAGGTGTGTCAGAAAGTGTGGTGAAGTGTGCTAGATAGTAAACTTGGAGATCAGGACTGCTCTTTTCTCCATACTGTTCGTGAAGGTACAGCTTACGTGACCATTTAATGTTTTTCTATCTTTTAATTATTCCTGATCTTTCAATCACTAGTTTGTCAGCTTTGAACTCTTTAGTTTCTTCAAGTAGTGTTTATTGTGTATTGGATGAAAATACTTTTATACATTTTATGCACTTTATGCCTTAGCTCCCTTGCTTCTTATCTCTATTCCTTTCCTCTGTGCTAGTGATGTTACCTACCATCCCGTTCTGGCCAAGACCCTGCACAGGTGACTCCTGCTTTGTCCCTGCCTGCTCACCCTTCCTCACTTTCTTCACTGCACATGCATGTGCTCTGCCTGAACTCCTTCCTCACATCTCCCTTGAGCAGTTCCAAGGGGCAGAGAGGATAGGTGAAGGACACTTACCCTCAGTATTAGGTTCTGCCTATTAGTCCTGATATATTATCCTTAGCGTTTCATTTTAAATGAAGTTGAGGTCATGCTTTGCCTTCTCTCTCAAGCTCTGACAAAACATTTGTGAGCTGACTGAGCAATACGTGTAACAGTTACTTATTCTCAAGCATTTCAGTCTTGCAGTCAGTATATACTCTGCCTTCAAAAGAAGGTAATTAAATATATCAAAAGAAGAGCAGGAGATACAAAGATGATGGCATTACTGTTTCTCTGCTGATGATTTCAGATTTCATAATCTGAGCCTTTCTCAGAAGTAAGTCAAACGAAAGGAAATTTTCCTGGATTCTTTTAGGTTACTAAGCTGTCACCTGCACGGCTCCCAGGTGAGGACATTCTATACCCAGCTTTTTCTGTCCTGCAATGTCTCAGTGGTCAGCATTAAGCAGACTGGTACACTGCTGTATTGTGGTATAGGGGACAGAGCACCTGTATGAAACTTGCTGCTTGGATGCAATTAGCTGAACTTGCTGACAGGCCAGGCTGCAATTCTTCAGCTCGTTTTCATATCTAGCAGCAATTCCAGCACTTGATGTAGAAAATCGATATTATATTCCTGAATTGATACTGATGGTTTATTAAAATATGCCATCTGCTCTTAAGTACACAAGTTCAGTGGAGCCGAAAGTGATAGAATGCCAGGCATTTTAACTGCTAATTTACATCAGCTCCGACTCCAAATGGAGTTTGTATTATTTCAAAAACTGGTTGTTAAAATTGCTGAAATCTAAATCTCAGCTACAAAGTTTTGGGACTTGTTAGCCTGAGCTCCTTCAGCACTCCTGAATGTCGGCAAGAGTCAGAAACCAAAACTTGACGCAGCTGTAAAAACACACGGAGAGCCTGTGGCCTCAGCAAATTCTACTGGTGCAGGCATATTTCAGATATAAATTTTACTCTGCTGTCCCTACTACTAATGAAGTCAGTTTCTTTTGGTGGGTTTGCAGCCAGGTGTGTCCAGTTCTGTGGCTAACCAGTGCTCTTTACTTAATTTTTCCACTAGTGACATTTCTATCAAACTTTAAAAACAAACAGAAAAATTGGCTTGATGCAATGGCTCCAAGTGTTAATAGTAACATTAGGCTGGGTACAAGGCTTCCTTTCGATCCTGCTTTGCCAGAGATCTCCACCTTGTGGCTTGCACTGAATAGATTTATACTCCTCAAACGGGCAGATGCTTCATCCATTTGTGAGGGGAATTCAGGCAATACTGGAAATTGCAGCTATTTGTCTTCCTATCAGAGTGCTTCCCAAACGTGAATATTAACCTGAGCCGAGTATTGTCGCAGTAACTGTGTATGTGAAAGCAGTTATTGTGGGTCTGAGTGTATTTGAACGCCTTTAGATGATGCAGAAGGGCTTCTGGATGCTGGAGTTCCATGGAGCAGAATTTCAGCTGATTGACAACAGAAATATGATTTTTTTAAAGGAAAAAAAAAAACGAGTCACTTAAGAACAATGAAAACTGATGCAAATCACATGCTGTCTTAGATGCATCAATCTTTATCCAACTGCATGCAAGCTGCTGTTGGGCTGCTCTTGGCAGCGATATTCTTGTGTGTTGTGGTAGCATTGTGCTTCTGAAATGAGTAACACATTTTCAGTGCAAAAGAACAATTCCAGTTTATAACCATACGTGTTCTTATCTCTTTTACAGCTTTCAGAACAAGAGGGGCTGACAAGCCAGGAATGCCAGACCTGTTTTAATTTATCTTAATCCCACTTTCCTGTTTTCCCACCAGACCACTCAGGACCC